ATGTAAGGTTTTTTCTTCTTCTGTTCAGTCATTTATGATTTGTATTTTTATTGTACATTGAATTACGTTGTTTTTTAAAGAGAAATTAATAAACTTAAAAAAAGTTAATCACTGAGTACCTTGCAGTAGCTCACTAAGCTACGTCTTTTCTTACCTTGATAGTTGATCATTTATTCTTCATGAAACAACTTACAACCTTTCTCAAGTTTCTTGGTTCGAGAGTTCGCCGTTGAGATTTCCTCCACATCAGCAAAAGAAAAGTCTGGCAAATAAAGCAATGAGGTTGAAAAGAGACATTTTCCTTCAGTGTATTAAGACACCAAAAACAGGAAGTGTCCCAGCACCAGGACTCACTACTTCCAGCTGTCCTGAAAAAAAGCCTATTTGATGAGATAATATTTAACCAAACAATAAATGTTTTCTCACTCAGTGAAGAAGAAACTTCAGTTGTCGTTTGGTCATTTATTACAACACAAGATCAAGAATTGATGAAACAACATAAAATAACACAAACAATTTCAAAGAAAACTGAAGGAACATTTGAATAAAGTAGACTCAAAGTTATTTTAGTCTGAGTTTAAAATGAAAGTTGAGAGGACGGCCTGTCCTCCTGTGGACACAGCCTCAGGACAGTTGGATGCAGCTGGACACTCTGAGATGGGCGGCTTGCCTCACTCCAACATAGTACCTGATCCAGGCCCGGATCGGCTGCTTAAACTTCTGCAGCATAAAAATAAATCCAACTACATTTTCCTCAGTTTGGTCAATGCAGTAAATATGAAAAAGTCTGGTCAGCTCTAGGATGAAAGCTGAACTCGTTCTTTCTTCCGTAAAACTAGTTGCATGCAGCATGTGGCCTGCCCAGACACAACAATCTAAACATATTTACTTCTCAGGCTCTAATGATAAGACCATGAACATTTCTCCTGGGAAAATATTTTGTCTTATTACCGACTCAGACACCATGCACAGCTGTTTGCTGCTTTAAAAAAGTAAAGCTAAATAGTTACTGTTGTGGTGTCACCGTTACCACCCCGAGTTGGTTGAAGAAAAAATACCTTCAGGAGACGTTACCTTTAAGTTTTAACACATTTATTCAAACACCATATTTTAATACTCATACAATAATTAAACCAAATGCATTTGGAAGTCAATCAATGAGTGAGACATACACATCCCTTTAAAAACTAGCCAGCACTCCAAGATTGTCTTAATTCCAAATTTTGATATAAAAATCACCCAAGAGATGTTAAAAAATGGAGACGTCTTGATGCACGGTTTAGTAAAAATTAGAAAAGGTTTATTCTATTCCCCAAAAATATCTGGCGTTTCATAAACCTTAGAGTCAATGCAGTTTGTGCCYCACGTTGACTGATCCAAACAAAGAAAACTGTCTAATTTATAGAATGGACGTCTCCTCCTTCATGGTTGACCACTCCCTTGTGTCCACCGCTTTCCTTCCTTTTTTGGGACATCCTCCATGATGTAATCCCTCCTTCTGCTCTTGGGCGCCTCTCTATGGTGGCCTGATTTCCTTCATTATTTCACCTTTTCATGACCCTTAATTTTACATACTAAAGATATAGTCTATGTAGCTTTTAAAACTTTACAACATGTGACTTTATGTTTTAAAACATGTATATTTGGTGCTCACATTATCTACAGATTACATTTTCGTCGTTCAGTAGTCATGCATCTAATTCATAAGGAAAACAGAACATCTTATTTGTCTAAAACATTGTCTTATTATCAAAACATCTTACTTTTATGATCATTATTATGATTTAGTACATGATCACCTGGGACTTTAATTTATTTATTAAACTTGAGCTCTCTTTTACAACTAAGGCTGTTTCTAATCTGACTCCTCAGTCTTGGGTCTGCATAGATGGCCTTGGACCATGTCCAAGAATTATACAAGATCTGCTGAGGCAGGGACTTTCTCTTGAGCACTGTTCCAACCCAGCTGTTTTACTTGGAACATTAACTCGACCAAACTTTCAGTTCTAAATTAAAACCTTGGCTTAGCTCTTATCAGACCGAGCTTTGAATTTCAAAGGAGGGTACCACGTTTGCCTCCCCCTGTAGGGGTTTTGGGTATATTCTAAAAATGGATGATTTGTGATAATTAGGATAATTATTCCTTGAGGCACCATGTTCTTTAATTCGATCAATTATTGACCCAGGAAAGAAACAAAAAACTGTAACTTTATTGTAATCAGTCTCAGAATAAATTTACCCAAAATGATTTTATGAGTTCTTGTCTTATCAAAACCAAGAATATCTTTCATCAAGACACAAAAATGAGATTAGCTTATGTTGGCACGTTCTCCACGAGCCATTTATTTACAGATTAAATGTATTTACAGCTGTGGCAAGTGATGGATGAATGATGACATGTTGAACCAGGTAACAACTGAAA